TTCCTCTTTAGTTTCATTTCCCATGGGTTTTGTTTTGGTTTTGTTTTTTTTTTTTTTCGTGATGATGATGATCAGTGGACTTTAAAATAAATAAACGAAACGAATCCGTTTTGAAAGGAGCTGCAGCCTATTGTGCCACAAATTCTCCCACAAGAGTTCAGTTACCTCTGTGGATTGCGTTACTGTGCTCTTTAGAGGGGAGGAAGGTAAGAGGGAAGGGAGCTCCCAGGCAGCGCTTTCCACCTATGCCAATTGATTGCTCATCACAGCCTTTTTACTCTTCCCTCTCCTCCAGGGACTGCTGCAAAGTACTCCCGTTATTTTGGCACATTAAATATAAACTAGGCGAGCATGGGTGATGTGGTTGTCGGGAGAATGGTTACGCTGCTGTAAGAGCATTGTGGGGGAAGGCTTTGTGAGACAGCTGTTGCTCCGTGTGGGGAAAACTCCAAGGGATGTGGCAGGTGCGAGGTTTAATGCTGCTCATGGGTTTTTCTGGAGAGAAAGTCCTGACTTTCCTTCCGTCGGCAGAACTCTTAGGGGCGTTCATTGCAGTACCCGCCTGCTCTGCCTGCACTTTCTCCAGCAGTCCAGACTGGTGGCAGCTTTTAACTGGCTGTATCGCATCTCTCTGAGAAACCCTGCTGCTGACTTTTTCTTGCCAAGAAGGCACAAAGCTGAGTCAGCTTGAAGTGACTGATAGTAAAGGGCAAACAGGGTTTATCTTACTGGAAAGCAAGTTTTATGTTGAGGTGAATTACTGAGATGATGGAAACAGCTCAGGTGGAACAACTCAAGGCTGTAGTACCCTTTGATTTATTTCCTCTCCTCGCTGAGGACTAACGTAGCTGAACACCTGGAGTCCTCCAGCTTTAGGTCTGTCCCGCTGTTTATGTTTCGGGCTCGGGTCTCCATAGCTTTCTTTCCTTTGAACAGAATCCTGCGGGTGAATTCGTTACGCCTAGACACGAGGGACTGGTAGCGCTGGTCTAGCGTCGGCGTTGCCATCTAGCCTCGTGCCAGGGCACTTTGCAGCGACCCGCAGCACGCTTGCTGTCCTAGCCCTGGGCTTCGGAGCAGAACTCGGAGCTGTGCGGCACCGGGCGCCTCCAGGCGTCGGCTGAGTGGGAGCTGCGCAGCACCCAGCGCCATCCCCCTGGGAGAGGCTGGATCGGTGCCCTGCGAAGGGTCGGAGCGTGCCGAAGGGTGGGAGCGTGCCGTCCGCGTCCTGCCTTAGTCACGCTGGAGCCCTGCGGCTGCTGCGCTGTCAGCCAACCCCCCCTCAGCGCTCTGAAGCTTCCAGGTCCTCACCTTGGCGCTGGAGGGAGGTGCCGGCTGGGGGAGGGCCAGCAGGTCGGGCAGGTTCAGCATGAGAAACTCGCTTGGCTGGCTGCGCTCCCGCAAAGCTGCGGAGGTAGATACCAGGCAAGGGCACTTTTACAGCAGTTTCTCAGCTCGGAGCTGAATTAACTTACATTTTTCATTACTGAATGGATCTATAATGTGCGTAACAACAAATTTGTAAATTATTGTAGAAGTTACCATTAAAAGCCCGCAAAATAGGAAAACGGCGTTTGACCCTTTCTAGTGACGGCTGCCGTCTCCTCTCAGATTTTGGAGGATGGGCACGTGGGTGTCTGCTCTTACCGCTTCGGGTTGCTCTGCGAGCGGGCTTCCCAGTGCTGAGCTGTCCTCAGCTAAATGAGATTTAAAAATCTCAGCAGCGTTTTTAAAGTTGGTTGTTTTTTTTTCTGACAGGTGAGCTTGGGGTTTGCCTGCCTGCGTCACTCGACGTTGTGCGTTATGACCACTTAGTAATCGGCGTGAACCAGTACAGAGGGAATTCAGAAAGGGGATTTCCCTCGGAGCTAAATATAGTCCCAGCTGCCTTGTGGGAAGTCAGTCATTTTTATTAGTTCATCGGAGGAGTTCTTGTATCCTGAGCTTCTCCCCACCCGCCGTTTTGGGGACCTGGGACAAGATCTTCCAGACCACTGGACAGGATGTGCCCCTAGAGCCAGAAAGCAAGTTCATCTAACAGAGAGAGCACAAACTACTTGTCCCCTGCTTCTGCCTTGCTTAGCCAGCGGCATCAGAGGACTGAGGGGAAGAGCTGGTGTCCCCGGTCTTTGGCTGGATGGGCTGGCCCCGCTGGTTCCCCCAAATGAAAGGGAGGGTTGGCAGGTAGACAGCAGCTCGTCTCGCTGCCGACCTCAAGGATTTTCTCGCGCAGATTCCACTCACCAGTGGGAAGTTTCACACCCAGGTTTCCTCCCAGCGCTCTCCTTGCCAGTGGGATGGAAAGGGGATCAATTCAGGGGGGGCTCTGGGCTTGCAGATGCTTCTCTCGCAAGAAAAGCGCCTTTTCCGCCCGCGCCGGAGGGTGGCAGTGCTGCAGAGAAGCTGCTCTCCACCTTGAAGGCTCCTGCTGAGAAACTGCCCGCTCCCGGCTGCCTGCGGGGACCTGCACCCTGGGCTCCTGTGTGTCCGTGAGCCCCTCTGGGACGCCGCTGCCGACTCCTTCTTCCTCTGATTCTTCTCTTGGGTTTTGTTTTTGTAAGTAACGAGCGGTCCTTATCTCCTGGCGAGCAGGACCAGCTCTGCCCTGCCACCGGGCTATCGGAAGCGTGCCGGAGCGGAGCGCTGAAGCGGTATCAGTAACCGAGATAGGCGTATCTTCTGCCAGAGCTGGCAAAAGAGCCTGTGGAACCAACTGGAAGCCACGTCCCTGCAACCTCCTATATTAAACCATCTCCTTCGGTGAGCTGGTGGAACGTTTCACTACAAAATAAACTACACAGGAAAAATGACAGCCGGGCTAACTAATGGGGAAGGGGTGATAATACCAGCGTGGGAAAAAGGGAGGTGGGGGAAAGAGACAGCTTGATTTTGTAAAGAAAATAACCTTCCTTGTCATTGGTGCAGCTCTTCGGTGTTTGATGGGCCCCTGCAGGAAGGTAAACGCTCATTTCTGACACTCCTGTAGTTTGCGATGGCTGTTAGTAAGTTTATTTGACTTTTTTTTTTTCCTAGTAAAATCTCCTTCCTTTATCATTTCCTTTTCTTTGTCCTGACAGAGTCATCAGCTGAGATTTTCGAAAACCGACATTTATGCTCGCAAAATAACATCTTTTTCTCCTTCTTTGCCCAGAGAAGTGTTTCGCTTTGAATTTTTCCTTTTTTCTCTCCCTCACAGGGGAGTCTTGCCTGTCTTCCTGGTCTTCCACACGCTGGTGCTAAGACAGTGCTCCACCTCTCGCGTGAAAACTCACTTCTTTTCAATTTCTGTGTGATAAGATACAGCCCAGTTTTACGACTGTGCTGGGGCTGATGTCTTTCGCTGTATCCGAGTGTTTTTCTCCAAGTGCTGTATTTGAACAGTTTTCTCTTCCTCAGACGGGTAATTGTAGGACTTCCTTGGATTTTTTTCCTTTGTACACAGTTCGTTGTTTCCTCCTCTTCCTTTTCACGTGTCTTTGTTGCTCAGATTTAGTTCCTGTGTTTTCTGATAGCGCTTTGCACCGTTTCCTGGGAACTTTACCTCCCCTCTGTAATGCTGCTTTTGCCGTGGGATGTTTCCCAGCCCATGTTTCTCGCATGGTCAGTGGTCTGCCTACCTCAGGAGGTTCTGCTATCCCCATGCCTTTGGTCAAGTAGGTTTTCAGTGATCCTGGTGTAGGAACGTCTGTTTCTAGGTGGAGCTGTACTTTCAGCTGTCTGCTCAGGTCAAACGACATTAACAGCACAAAGCAGCCAGTTGGGTGGCTTGTTTTTGGCACAAAACTCAGGCAGCCCAGCTGGCAGATAAATGGAAACAGTGAGATGGGGAGCAAGAAATCTCAGTGGGCACACGTGCAGCTACAAGAGGATGACTGTAAACCTTAGCCTATTTTTTTTTCTTGTTGCCTTTGGTTATCATCACTTACATTTAATTTAGTCTTTGCTCCCCATTGCTGAACAACCCTAAACCTTTCCCGAAGGAGAAAGTGACCTTCATGCCATGGCTTCTTCTTGGTTGGGTCTTCAGCTCCCTGCTGTCTTTATGTAGAGGAGTGATTTAGAAGGATGTCAGTTTGCTCCTGGGATGTTCTTCAGAAGTTCAGTCAGGAGGGTTTTCTTTTGAAAGCAGCACTGCTTTACAGATCCTGGGATATCAAGAAAAAGGACCTTGAGTTGATGTTTCTTCTGACTCTGTAGTTACAGCGGAAAACTGGCTTGGGGGATTGGTGTCATAGTCACGTAAAACAAGATGTTTATGGGTTTCTTCAAAGCCCACCACGACGAGGGGAGGACCTGCTATATCTGCGTGAATCCTTGGGCAGGAGCCGGTGCCTGTTCAGGAGTTTGCTGTTCCAGGTAGGCCTGTGTGAAGAATTGCTAGACTGAAAGCAAGACAGTGCTACCCCCTTACCGCTTCTAAATGGTCTTGTGCCTGTGGTGAACCCGAATGTTAATAGATGGAGACTGGTAACTTTAAATGACAGATTTAATGAAACAACAAAGTTGTCTTTCTTACCAGGTTGTGGGTTTCCATTGGTGCTTGTATGGTAAAAACCTGGTATCACCCAAGGAAAGGTGTCTTCACCCTTCAGGCACAGCGGCAACAAACGCACGCATTGGTGCTCTGCCTGGAGCGGAGGGAATTAGCCGTTGTACACACACTCGCTTGCTGAGTCGTGCAGAGCTGGGTCTCCTCACCTACAGTCCTCACTAACCAGGTATGATGGCCCTGCCCGCTTTCCTGGTGTGTTTTAGGCAGCTTCACTTTACTCGAGGAAGGCAAAAAGCCTCAAGGTGGTTGATGTCTGCGGGGAGTTCAGCTGCAAGTCTCCTTCTTGCTCTGCGAGTAACGCACAGGCTGTGCCACATGGCACACGCACGGCAGGCAGGGTGGCGGTGAGTGGCTCTGGGGGCTGCTGGAGTGTGTGTCGCTCCAAACTGCTTGGGGACTTGCGTATGTTGGCTGCCACCAAGGTGCCAACTGGGCTCCTGTGGCAGCGATGGGGGAACAAGTAAGCGAGTGCGCGCTGCCGGAGCGAAGGGAGCTGCTTCTCGCCGCTGCCGGCCAGGTGAGCGGGCTGGCTGTCGGCAGGGATCCTGCGGAGCTCAACAGGAGCGGGAAGAGAAATCCTTTCTAGAGACTTCTTAGCAAAAGGTTTTCCAAACGAGTCCCACATTTCCCAGTTACGCCCTTCTACAGAGAGTAGTATAATCCTAATTACGCATCAGGCCCCCATCTTTGGCAGTTGAACAGCTCCTGTGTCAAGCACCTCTCAATTTACTAATTTATCATTTTCTGTCTTATTTACTACATTCCTAAATGCTTATCGTACTTGCTGTTCTGTCTTGCCTGCACTGAGCCTGTCTTTCCCAGCGCTGGGAGTTCCTGAATAGATTCCAGATGTTCTTATTTACTCAGGTACATTTCAAGACTCTTCATTAAATTAACTCTTTATTGGCTTACAGGGCCTACGGTAGCAACAGCCCTGTCTCTCCCATCTCATCCATCACGACTCCCCTTCCACCAAGAGAAGGCAGCTGTGCGAAGGGGAACACGAGAGCTGCTGGCCGTCCTTAGAGCAGTCAAGGAGGGGTGAACCTTAAGAGGACACGCTAGTGGAACGTATCCAAATGCTGCCACTTGCTTCTATGCCAAAAAAATCCCATTTGCTGGCTTTAGACTTTATTTTTTTTTTCCAACGGGGCTCCCTTGCCTGCGCAGCCCGTCTCTAGGTCATAGTACCCTGAGAAAAGCTGTTCAGCGAGCGTGGCTTGGATTGGAGGCGTTTGCATCACACATTCCTGGGCCCTGGGCTGCCTTGAGAGATAAGATCTCATACTTCTGCAGTGGAGAAGGGGGTTCTGGGGAAAGGACCTTTCCTTTGCAGTCAGTAAACTCCGGCAGGACCTTGTTTCTTCAACTGCACGGTTTGGGCTGCTTCTGAGCCTTTCGCTGAGTATTTGTGCAACAGAAATGGGTGTAGCTGCAGCGTTGCTGAGCGCTTTCCCTATTCTTTCAAAACCGATTTCCAAGCAACTGAGAGGAACAGTTCAGCGTAGCCATGGGAGAGGCGTCGTCCTCTTGCTCCAGACCCTTGGAGGGTACGGCGAGCTGGTTTGGTTAGATTCCAGGCCTTGGCACATGGCGTTATTAGAAAGCTCGTTGCTTGCAGCAAGTAACCCAGCGTATAGCAGTGATGAACAGCGAGACTGGTGCTTTTCACCAAAATCTGCCTTTCCAGCAGCAAGCTGAACCCCGCTGTTGTGCAGAGGCGGGCTGAGAGCTCGCCATGCCGCAGTAGCAGGCGTGACATCCCGGCTAGACCCCACGGGTGATGCTGTCTCCTGTAAGGCACTGAGCAACGTGACACAAGGCTTCGGGAGGATCCGAGCAGAGCAGAAATAAAGCTCTCCTGCGTTGAAGATGATTGTGCACTGAACTAGCCAGGGAGCGAGAGCTACACAGCTACTCAGGGAGGTAACTGTTGGTCATCTGTTGGCGCTCTAGTCTGTGAGCAGAAAGTGCAGCTATTTGCACCTGCAGAGTAAATGAGTGCCAAAGAGCCAGAGGATTAAGTGCCGAGTACAATTTCCAAAGGTGCCTTGTGTCTGTCCAAGCGGGTGAGCGGGTACAAAATGGCCCAGGCAAAAAAATAAAAATCGGCTTTTTATATTTCCTTTTGATTTTCCTCTTTCCTCTTGGGTGGGGAGAGATGCATTTTGCTTTCTGATAGAGATGTACGTTTAGATATGCTGGTGGGAGACAGGGATTTGGCTCCCACTGCACTGGCTGTGGTCCAGCGTGAGTGATATTTGTTATCTGGGATGTCAGTAAAATAGCAGCAAAGAGAGATGCCGCTGACTCAGTTGTACTGTGGCTTATTAACCAAGTTCTGACTCAGCCTGGGAGTTTTTTTAGATTAACCCCCACTGGACAAGGCAAGGCTGAGCTGAAGATGACGCATTTTTCTAACAGCATTGTGATGAACCTTGCAGAACGGGCGCTTGCGTTCTCCTTGGCTGGGGGTGGTGGCGCAGGGGACACTAACACGGATTTAACACTCCCAGTGGCTCTTGGTCACCTGGGAGGAGAGCAGGGAGAGGCCTTTGCCCATGTTGTTCTGCCCTGGCTGCTGCATATAAGCTCAGTCTTGGAGACTGAGTTCGACCTAGCTGGAGAAGCCTGGTTTTGAAGAGGCGCCTGATCTGTGCCAAATGGATGAGTTGCGGTCAGAGTCGGGTGTGACCCCTTTCCCGCCAGCCTTTTGCTGTGTGCCTTCTGGCCTCTGAAGGCGATTTCTCCCTCTGCTTTTGCTTTGCCAAGCGCTCTTAACGGTGACGGGCTGCGTGCTGTGAGCACCGCTGCCTTGGGAACTCGGCTGCTCCCACACAGCCAGCGCTGAGTAACTGGGCTCCTACTGCTCTTAACGTAGGAGTAATTTTTGGTTTGTGATACTGAGACTGCTGGGCAATATCGGCAACGAAGGGTCTGTGAAAGGGGACTAAGAAAAGCACGTTTCTTGTCACCACGCTAAAACATACTGGGGGGGGTGGTTCTGCATTGCTGTGGGAGATCTCTCAGGAGCTCACAGACTGAAAGAGGTTGATAATTGCAGATCTCGCTGAACAGAGAAAGGAAAATGCATCCCACGCCTCCTGCTCTCAGTGACTTTGTCCTGGGCTAGGGCAGTGCCAATGCCTTGCACCCATTAAGGAGAAGGCAAAGCAAAGGGGCGGGGGGGGGTCCGCAGCCCCGAATAAGCAGACAGAACTTGGCTCCTGGTCCCCCTGGA